GGAGAAGACCCTGGGTCTTCACAATAAAAGCACAGAATGAGATCATTGAGACCTTTACAATAAAAAACACAAGAGGAGACAGTGGGACTTCACAATAAAAGCAAAGGCGAAGACAGTGGGACTTCACAATAAAAGCACAGAAAAAGATCATTGAGACCTTCACAATAAAAAACACAAGAGGAGACAGTGGGACTTCACAATAAAAGCACAGGAGGAGACAGTAGAACTTTCATAATAAAAGTCCAATAGAAATGTGTGGGACTTCATAATAAAAGCACAGGAGTGTGGAAGACTTTCACAATAAAAGCACAAGAGGAGACAGTGGGATCTTCACAATAAAAGCACATTGAGACCTTCACAATAAAAAACACAAGAAGAGATAGTTGGACTTCACAATAAAAGCACAGGAAAAGACAGTGGGACTTCAAAACAAAAGCACAGGAGGAGCCAGCAGGATCTTCACAATAAAAGCACAGGAGGAGACGAGGAGGCGTGAGGAGCTGTGAGTTGTGAAGCGGTGACCTACGGCGCGCGGCGAAGGACATTTTAAACTGGAGTTTGTTTGATGGTCAGGACTTGGTCTCTGTGAGAGTCTGAGGAACAGAGCCGAGATTTTGGAGGGAAATAAAAAAATGAGGTAACAGACTGAAGTAAACAAAAATCTGAACAATTCTGAGGAAATTTAAGAAAACTTCAAACCAGAATTAATATTAATTGTGTTACTTTTCTGGTGCTTTTCTCCATGGAGATGTTATTGCTTTGTCTGGAATGTTTCACAGTATGGCATTAAACCTTTCTATCGTCATGGAGACCAAACCAGGCCAAGTTACAGGTCAGATCTGTGGAGAGGCGCCCCCGCTCACAGTCAGAAGGTTTGTTTTTCTAGGTATTTTTGAGCGTTAAAACCACCTGTAACTGAATAAATGTAAAGTAGAGCTGTTTAATGTCACACTGTGGAACATTCCAGAGTGATGGCATCTCCATAGAAACAAGCATCTCCATGGCAAAGTACAGTTTTGACTTTCCATGGAATCTTGCAGGAGACAAAACAGCTCCAGAAAGTTGCACAGTGTTGCTTTTAACCTTTTTGTTGGTAGTTGTGGAGACGCCATCTCATCCAGCACAACTCTCCCTCAAACACAAATTGAGCTTAAAGATTCACTGTGGCACTTTTCTTGTGGAGGGTCTGCTCGTCTCCATGGAGATGATGTCACTTTCCACAGTGTGGCATTAAACCAGTCTTTCATGCCTTCTTACAGGTGCCCGATTTTGGCTGCGATTTGCTTCTCTCAGAGTTCGCTGAGGCTTTTTGTGTCTTTGTGTTTGATTTTGAAGCCGTTGCGTTCACAGAGATGCAAGATACAAACTCAGGAAATGGCGAAAATAATGAGAAGACTTTAAATGTACAACTTTGCGAGAGGTGAGGAATAAAGTGCTGCATCTCATCCACATTATCCATAGAATTGGTTCTCCACAAGTATTGAGTCCAGTCCTCAAAACCGCGTTATTAATGCAGCTCGAAGTGTTATTTAAAAGTAAAAAGGTGGGAGTAGTTCCTCTTGTGTGTCTGTTTACATCCACACAGCGCACGGATCGAGGTGAAGCTCCAGATTAGCAACAGTGACTCTACTTCCTGTGGACTTTATTGTCAATTTTTTATGCTTTAAAAATCATGTATCACAGGAGATATCACAAAAAATAATAACAGTTTTGACTTGTATCTAAACTAGAAGTACAGAGCTCTGATCTTTTGAACACTTAAGAGTCTCAGAGTGACTGGTTTTACTGTCGACAGGAAACAGCTGAGAAGATCATGCTCACAACTTTCTTATATCCTGTGGTCCGCAGACAGATCCCACTGCAGTCTTTATAAGAGGCTCCGGTCAAGTGGTAACGGAGGGAAACGGGCAGATTTTTTACATTCAAATGTCTCTTATTCAGAAACTAGAGGAACTATTGAAATAAGTAAAGTATCAGAATGTAGGAAAGAGTTACACTCCAACAGGGTAAAGTTAAACCTGTGATATTCTTTCAAGTTGTTGACAAAAAATTTAAAAACTCATGTCGGTAACGGAGGGAATGAAATATGCAGCACTTTTTGGGCAATAAATACAAACAGTGATAACTCTTGGTTCTCACTTACATATCCTTAACAAACTGGTTTGAATATTTGCTTCATATAGTTTTCTACCATATGGTACAAGATTAGGTTGAAAAACCTCTTACTTTTTGAGTCATGAGATTTTTTATTAAGAAAGTTCATGGTAACGGAGGGAAAAGTAACGGAGGGAAAATTGTGCAAGTAGAAGGTGAAGGATTTTACATAATTTCTCTGCTTTTTTCTTCCGAATAATATTACTTCAAAATGAAAGAAACTATTTCTATAAAATATGTCAGTCCTTCCAAGCAAATTTTTTTTATCATTTTAAATGATTTTATTTTTTTTAATTAAATCATGTACCTTCATCAACAGTTCAAAGATGGAATAACACAAGATATGATGAAATCCATCCATTTATTTACATGATTTGCAGATCTTTGAAATTTGGGAAATAATTTTTGTTCCATGTTTCATACATGGTCTGTTTAAAACGTATGGAACTTTAGAACCAAAAAATGGTACAGAAAAAAGGTCAACAGTTTCATAAACTAGAGTACATATGTATCTGTTCAATACATTTTTATATCAGATGAATTAACTTGAATTTTTGGCCTTGTTGTTTACTTCTGCTTGACTGGGCCCAAGAGATTTAAAATCCTTAAAGATTCTTGTTGAGTCTGTGGTGTGCCCTTGTTGTCGCACGTTTAAAAATCTAATCGTTTAAAGTCCTGTAGCGTGTGGCAGCCTTTAGCCTCATACGGTCACTTGCTTGTTTTCATGGAGACAGATACATTTAATGCCTTACTGTGAAACATTCTAGGCAAAACCATAACACATCTCCATGGACAGTACATGGTAGAGATGCGCGGATGGGCTATTTTTTCATCCGCAACTGCGACACAAAACTCATCATCTGCCCGCTGTCCATTTGCACCCAAGCATTTGACCAATTTTCAAAACCGCACTCGCCATCCACCAATTAATTTTAGATTTTAGAACAATCATACAGCAAACAAACTAAGGAGCCTTGATAAAAATGCAAACTCTATCGCTCATTCATTCCAAAATTCGCTCAACGTGCATGTTCGCATTCTTAATTGTCCATAACAAACGGCCGCTCGTTGCTCAGGGTTTAACTCCCTGTTCGGAGCCTCACCGTGAGTGCGTGGGCTCAATAAAGGCGCCAGTTCGTTGCTCGTGGCTTTATTTGCTGTGATGCACTAAATAACAGGGCAGTTGCTTCCTGACTCACTTCGGTCGCCTTCTGACCGTTCATGTCACATGCAGAAAAACACAGACACCCGTTTGCTCCGCGGGCCCATTCAGAAGAAGCGTGCCTCGGGGCCGCTCTCTCCCGCCACACGCCGCTCTAAACACCGCACATAGAAGTAAAGACGCATATCTCATAACACTTAACAATATAGGCTGTAATTTATATATTTTTTTAATTTGAGTAGTTAAACCGCCACCCGCCTGAATTTAATTAAAATTAGGGGTGTCAAATTATCGCGTTAATTGTGATTAATTAATTACAGTCATATTTAGCGCGTTATGTTTTTTAATCGCGTTAATCTAATTTTTAATCTCTAACTTTACCGTTTCTGTATACGAGTTGCTTTATTATAAAATCTGTTTTTATGTGTTGTTGGGACAACAACAACAACACACACACACAAAAAAACACATTTATAATTTTTTTTATTTCGGTAATTCCACTCATTGCCGGAAACCCACACAGAACGCGTGCAGTAAGAGCGATGTAAACGTCATGTTAACGTTGGCGGCGTCAGTCGCACAGTGGACAAGGCCTACAACAATGTCACTGGTGAAAACAACCTGCATAGAGTCATGATGTCTGCACTACTGTCCTACACACAAACAAACACACACAAACACACACAAACACACACAACACACACACACACACACACCTTCATCATCGTCATTAACCTGAGAACGCTCCGCGTTTCCTTCCGTAGTTACTGCGCGGACACCGACCTGCTCCCGTGCGCCGCGTACGTTTTCTCGCTACGCTGCGTAAACCGCGCTTCCTCCTGTGCGTCTCTAAACCAGAACTAACACCAAGACTAAAACCAGGACTTATCCAGTCCAGGACTAAACCAGGACTAAACCAGGACTAAACCAGGACTAAACCAGGACTAAAACCAGGACTAACCCATTCCAGGAATAAACTAGGACTAAAGTAGGACTAAAACAAGGACTAAAACCAGTGATCTCATATATAAAGCATTTCTCTATCAATAATATTTTTAATATGGTTAAGGAAAGACTGGACTTTTTATTGTCTTTAGACAAAAGTTATTATGTTCAGATTTCCTCGTCTTTGCTACTTTACAGCAAACAGTTTCTTATTCATGGAGACTTGGGCTCAACAGCCAAATTGGAGAGATTTGTTAAACAATAAATGACTTTATAAAGTCACTTTTTTTAATCTATATTAGTCTTTTGATCTGCCACAATAATGTAATAATGAATTTAAATGAAAATACCTCAAATTGAAGGCTTTTCTCAGAGATTAATTAGATTAATTAATTACAGATCATAATTAATTAATCTCTAAATTTTTTTAATCGCATGACAGCACTAATTAAAATATTATTTTTCAACTCGTGGCTGTAACCGCAATCCGCTCATCTCTAATACACGGCAGACTATCAGAAAAGTTACACAGTGCAGCTCCTCTTAGGTCTGGTGAAACTTCTACTTTAATAATACCAGTGCTACTACATTTATTTTTGAAAATCTATTAAAGTTAATTGAAAAAAACAAACTGAAAACAGTCGTGGCGGCGGCGGAGGCGGAGGAAGTGTTGGTGTTGGTGAGTTCGGGGGGTTTGAGGACAGAAGTTGTTAAATTGTGGAGTTAGTTTTTGAATTACCCGAGAATCCTGCTCCAATCACGATGTTTCTGTGCTGAGGGTGAGAGTCAAGGACGAAATGGTGATCTGGAGTCAGCTGAAAAACAAAAGAAAAACAAACAGTGAAATAACACGGTGTGGACTGAGAGAAAGAGAGAGAGAGAAGAGAGAGAGAGAGAAGATGGGAGGGAGGGAAAAAGGAGAAGAACGGAAGGAGAGGGAGAAGGAGAGGAGAGTGTAGGATAAGGGGGAAGGGAAAAGGAGGGGGCAGAGAGGGAGAAAAAGAGAAAGAGGGAGAAGATGGGACAGAGAGAAGAGACAGAAAGAAAGAAATAAAGAGAAGATGGGAGGGAGAAAGAGAAAAAAGAAGTGACAGGGTGACAGGGAGAAAGAGAGAGAAAAAAGGAGAAGATGGTAGAGACAGAAAGAAAAAGAGAGAGAAAAAGAAAGAGGGAGAATGGGAGAGAGAGGGAGAAAGAGTGAAAGACAGAGAAAAGAGAAGAGGGAGGGAGAGAGGGAAAAAGGAGAAGAAAGGGAGGAGAGGGAGAAGAATAGGAGAGTGCAGGATATTAGGGAGACAAAAAGGAGAGGGGGCAGAGAGAGAGAGAGAGACAAAGAAAGTGAGAGAAAGAAAAAGAGAAAAAAAAAGAAAGAGAAAAAAATTAAGGAAGGAAGAAAAGGAAAGAAAGAAAGAAAAAGAAAGACAGAGGGTGAGGGGGAGAGAGAGAGAGAAAGCTGGAGGGAGAGAGAAAGACAGAAGGGGACAGAAAAGAGATAGAGAAAAGATTGGAGAGAGGGAGGGAGAAAGGGAGAGAAAGGAGAGGAAAAGAAACAAAAACAAAGCGGAATAAGGAAAGAGAAATGGAAAGAGACACGGAGATGAAAGAAATGAGACAGGAGAGAGGGGGAGGAGAGAGAGAGGGGGTGATAAAGAGGAGAAAGAAAGAAAGAAAGGATAGAGAGAAACAGAGAGAAAGAAGGTATGAAAGAAGAGAAAGAAAAGACAGAAAGGAGGAGAGAAGGAGATAGGAGGAAGAGAAAAATAACAAAAAGAGAAAGAAAAGCGTGAGAGAGGGAGACAGACTGAGGAAATAGACAGAGAGAGAGAGAGATACCTTGCACAAAAAGCGAGACGGAAGAGCGAGAGAGCGGATAGAAAAAGAAAAAAATAGAAAAAAAGATTGAAAATGAGAGGGAGCGAATGAGACAGACAGAGAAAGAAAAGCCCATCTCTTCCACAGTCTGAGGTGATTGTCGAGGCCCACGGTCTGATTAAAAGTGCACAGTGTGGCTTTAAAATTCGGGGTTTTAAAATGGAGTCCTGGGCTGAACTTTGGGTCGATGCAAAAAAAAAAAAAAAAACACGCCAAAGGCCAGAGACGCCTTCACTCCGCGCCGAGAAAAACTCTGCATGAAAACCGCACCTGCAGGAGTGACGCGGAATAAAGATTTACACGTTATAACATTTGGTAATAACATTTAAAAGGATAATTCGGATTTTTTGACATAAATCTGTGTGTCGTCCCCGTCATCAGTGTCGTGCATCCACACCGACTTACCCCCGACAGCGTCCGGTGAGTCGAGATACTGGCCTGTTTTGGTGCTGAGAAAAGTAGTTCGGCAAGTTGTGTGGGGACTGTTTACTAAAGCGTTTTTCTTCTCAAAACAATATGTGTTCAAAAGAGTGACACATTTGCATCACAAAACCATCGTCGCCAAAAAACTCAGACCTCATAATCGCTTGGCGCTATTTTCTCTCCGTACGTATCACTGCGCGCGCGGCCGCCAGGTGACAGCCGCGCACGGATCCATCTGTTTCTTCAGTTGTTCGGCAGTGTTTACATGCGCAGACGCCGCCACGTGAGAGAGCTAACGAGAGAGCTAGAGCCATAAGTATATGAGCCTGGTTCACTTTGTTTACTGCTCGGAATGTTAGCGACAACATGTCTGATTACGACACCGACAATAAAGACTTTGCCTTTACCACAAACCCAAGGGGAGATCTTTGTGAACCCGAATATACTGATGCCGAATTTCACCAGATGGAGTTAGAACGAGCAGAGAGAGAAGAGAGACAGAGAAGTGGTACAAGTTGAAGCTGGAGCCGTGAGAGACCGAGTGAACCACAATCACCATCACGTCATTTATAAACTCGTACACAGCGAACATAGAGCCGACACTGTGACTGAAGTATGGACGACTAATAGAAACAGAATCATCCACACGTCCACGTAGCGGCTGCCAACAGTGTACGAGACATTTACAACAGTAATAACAGTCGACTTATAAAGTTACGTTTGTAGAAGCTTCACTGGTGATATGACTCTGAGTGAGTTACAGCTGATTCTTGAACCTGTTCTCTTATAAACACAGCGGCATTTCTTCGTTCTTACCTGGTTTAGTTTCCACATTGAAGCCAAAGGCAAGAAGCCAAAGTTTCCTCAGCGCAAAGTCCGTGACAGGAAAACGGTGAAATGTGTGTGGAGATTCAGCCAGATTTTTGTTGTTACAGCCTGGAGAATCAAGAGTTCGCACCATTTTTTAGATATATTCATATGTATCTTATACAAGCTTATATACTTATGGCTCTAGTTCTCTCGTTAGCTCTCTCGCGTCGCGGTCTGAGCATGTAAACACTGCCGAACAACTGAAGAAAGTGATGGATCCATGCGCGGCTGTCACCTGGTGGCCGCGCGCAGTGATACGTACGGAGAGAAAATAGCGCCAAGCGATTATGAGATCTGACTTTTTTGGCGACGATGGTTTTGTGATGCAAATGTGTCACTCTATTGAACACATATTGCTTTGAGAAGAAAAACGCTTTAGTATACAGTCCCCACACAACTTGTCGAACTACTTTCCTCAGCACCAAAACGGGCCAGTATCTGGGCTCACCGGACGCTGTCGGGGGGTAAAGTTGGTGTGGAATGCACAACACTGATGACGGGGATGACACACAGATTTATGTCAAAAAATCCGAACTATCCCTTTAAATCAAACTTCCGGCTCTGTTTTCTAACATTCGCCGATTTGAAATATATCGTATCAAATCGAAACCTCACTGTATCGACGTATGTATCATATCTGCAATTTCTTAATGATACCCAGTCTTAGATTCGATACGGTTCAATAAAAATAAAGGCTAAATCATGTCTGTGATAGTAAAAGTCTTTGTTAAACCACTTCTTGTGCAAAGTTAAAATGAAACACAAACATTTTAATCATCAAAACAGTGAAAATGTCAAATGTGTCGCATTAACGAGTTTCCTTTTAATTCCAAATAATCATTTTCGTTAGATATTAAAGGTTGTATAGAGGATTTTTTTTTAAAGGGAAAAGAAATACAGCAACAGTCCTTTTTTCAAATGTGCATGTGTGACACCACCTTCCTCCTCCACAGCCTCAGTAGAAACACGTCCTCCTCCCGCCTCTTTACTCTAGAAATCACGTTTGTTTACATGCAGTGCGCGTTCAGAATCACTGATGAAGTTTCCTGTCTAGAAATTATTTAGCGACCGACGCGTCAGTTTTTAGACCCTTCATCTGCTTCATTCACGCCATCACTGGAAGGAATCTCCAAGAATCATGTGTTTGGCTTTACTCCTTTTCTCCTTCTCTTCTTCTTTCAGCGACCTCAAAAACGGACTTTCTTTCGTGGCGAACTGGTCGTGGATTCTCGTCCGACATCGCGACAAACTGCGAGGAAGCGACAGTTTTAAAAAGCCTCTAAGAACCGCTGCATAAACCAAATAATCCCAGCGCGCCGACGAGTCAGTTACACTAGAAACATAGGGAGTTTGATTGACAACCTAACAGCCAATAGAAAATGAGGGAGCCATGTTTTCTATTGGCTGATGTTTATCTGCCCTCACTATGTCCACAGATGATAAATTTTCATTATTTTTTTCTTTAATCAACATAATTACAAGGCTGCTGCATCTCTGTAAAGGGGCGTTCACACCAAAGCGTCAAAAAACGCCTTGACGTCTCTATTTGGACGCCTTTGCATTTGAGTTTAGACGCCCCCGACGCGCGTCTTTGACGCTGTGGACGAACGGGACAAAAATACTTGACGCGCGTCCGTTGCCCTGGAAACAAGAGCCCGGTCCAGGTCTTTTCCCGAAACAATATCAGACCAGACTGAGAGACTTTAGTGTTTTTATGACATAAAACATCAGCGGAGGAGATCGACTCGACGACTGGGACGTGTTTATATTTATACTCCACTAATGACACTGGATCAGTCCCGGTCTAGTCCTGGTCTAATACCGGTCTAGTCCCGGTCTAGTCGTGGTTTAATCTTGGTCTATTCAGGGTCTAGTCCTTGTTTAGTCTCGGCCTAGTCCTGGGTTTGGTCCCGGTCGAGTCCTGGTTTAGTCCTGGTCCGGTCCTGGTCTAGTCCTGGTCCGGTCCTGGTCTAGTCCTCGCGATCGGCTCGGTGATTGTGGTGTATATATTTATTCTCCGCTCATGTTTGTGGTTCTCGTTCTGGTTCTCGGGTCTTGCTTCCTGATAATTAACGTCGCTGCGTCTCTGGATACTCGTCCCTGATTGGTTGACGCGGCGCATCTGACACGAAAAGTTCAGCATTTTCAACTTCTTGACGCTGACGCCTTGGACGCGCGTCTTGGCCGCTGACGCCAAAACGCTCAAGACGCGCCGCGTCGACGCCAGATTCGCGCCGCGCTGACGCTGAAAACGCGCCGCAAAAACGCAGGACGCTCTAGTCGCGCGTCCACATAGACTTTACATTGAAACTGGACGCTTTGACGCCTTGGTGTGAACGGCCCTTAAGGGTATTTTAAACTTTCCTTGACAATTTGAAAGTAAAAAACAATCCTCCATACAACCTTTAAGTGTTTACGTGGTCTTTTTAAAGCAGAATTAACTTTTATTCAGAATTCAATTATTACACAAATGAACACATCAAAATAACGAAAAGACAATTCTCCCGATTTACTGTGTGTGCGCTGACATTTTTTGTTGTGACGTAAATCCAACTCGACTCGTCCGCACCGAACCGGCCCGAGTTTGTGTTTCTTGTCGAGATGTCCATTCTTCCACAGTTTGACTATGGTGACATCATTTATCGACATG